CCAAATGACCCCAGAACTTCCAGAAAACAACGTGGCAGAGAAGCACCAAGTGGACAAGCTTTGGTCCCTCAAGGCAACATCTCTCCACGAACACAGCATCACGAGGACACCACAGAGACCCAAAGCCACCGTGTCTGTGCTCCTCTGCCCCAAAAACACCTCCAGCACCACATGGATGCTCCATTCAGGGCAGGGATGGATGGGAAGATCCCACTCACATCCAACCTCTTTCCACACCTCCTGGCCTTCGGCACCAAATGAAAGGACGTGAGGATGGGACAGAGCTCTGAGAGGGACACACCAACCCACGGACATCTGGAACGTGCCCAGGACACACCACAGTACCCACAAACCTGCCAGCTCCACCTCCGCCATAGCTTCTGCATAGGTGCCAGCATCTCTCACAGTGCAGACGTACAGGCCATCATCAGAGGGTCTCAACTCAGAGATTCGCAAGTCCAGGCTCCCATTGGAGAGACCATCTCTGGCCAACTCTGTCCTTCCAACGTATTCCTTCATCTGCTCACCATACTGGTCCTCTCCGTTTTGGTAGAGGTGCACCGTTTCAGAGACCAGGTGCCGGATCCACCTGATCTCCAAGCTTTGAGCATCCATGCGTGGGGACAAGTGACAGGGCAGCACGACGTCCTGCCCCACAGTGACAAGGAGAGGTTGCCTTGGTCCCACCACTCTGAGCTCTGCTGGTTGACAGAGAAGGACACAGAGAGATGGAGATTGTGCCCACATTAATTTATAGGCATCACATGGGAAGGGGCCAGCTTGGTGTGAGTGGTGCCTGCTTCACCCTGCAGGTGTTGCTTTGCCCTCCCCATGGCCCAAAGGCACTGGAGAAACTGGAGAGGGAGTAGGATTCAAAAGAGAAGGAGGTTTCCCTGTGGTGAGGACCTACACCAGAAAATCCTGATCCCCACTCCAAAAATGACCCACACCCTGAAAATTACCCCCTGCTTTGAGGGAGCACCGCAGGACTGAAGATGTCCCAGGGCAATGGACGTGTGCCATCAAGAGCCCATGGGATAGTGAAAGCCATGCATGGCCGAGCTCTGGGCTCCGTTCCTCCTGCCCCACAGCACCTCCCCTGCCCCACATCTGCCCCCAGAGCACACTCAGCCCTCCCAGCCCTGCAGGATCCCTACCTGATCCCAGCTAGGATTTTTTCCCCCGCAGAAAGGGCTCATTTTCCTGTGTATGGCCGTTGTCGCAAAGGAAGGAGCAAACCCCCAACCAGATTATGACAAATCGTCCACCTGTGCTGGTTCTGCTCAACAAAAATGACCCACACCCTGAAAATTACCCCCTGCTTTGAGGGAGCACCGCAGGACTGAAGATGTCCCAGGGCAATGGACGTGTGCCATCAAGAGCCCATGGGATAGTGAAAGCCATGCATGGCCGAGCTCTGGGCTCCGTTCCTCCTGCCCCACAGCACCTCCCCTGCCCCACATCTGCCCCCAGAGCACACTCAGCCCTCCCAGCCCTGCAGGATCCCTACCTGATCCCAGCTGGAAGAGGTGGAGAGTCAGGAAAGGACTGAGGAGGCAAGAAGGGTTTGGGGGGGCTTTGAGTATCGGGACATACCAGATGTGCCCTGTCACCTTGGCAACACCACATCCCTGCGGACAATGTGTCCCTTGCTGTCCCCAATGTCTTATCTTCTGCATGGGGAGCCCATGCTCAAAAGAAGGAGTGCAGGACAGTTTGGGGGGCTGCACCCATAGCAAGGAGTGGGTCCTGGG